CCCCTGCGTCACGAGGGAGGGGAGGGGGAAGGCGGGAAGGGGTGCTGCCACGACTGCCACGTGTGTGTCGACTGTGTCGCCGGGGGCTCGGAGTCCAATCGGACGGCGACGGCTCGGACATTGGTGCAGCCGAGGGCATGACGGGAAACGCGATGGCATGAAAAGGAATATGTTGGTTCGATAAGTGACCGCCATGACGCGGTTCGGCTGGCCGTTGCTTCATGTCCAGCGACTGTAGTTTGGCCCCGCGTGAAGCGAACGCCGTAAACGCACCAGGAACTCCCAGCGCACCCCGTCGTTCCAACAATGTCTGTCCTGGCCGCCATCATCGCCCGCGGCCCCGCGGCCCCGCCTCACTCGCCAAACAAAAACCGTTCCCCTTTGCGAGTCTTACCGGCGTTACTGCACTTTCCAACGCAATCATCGACGAGGCGGCCGGCAGCACTTTCACGAGGAAGTGCTGCCGGTTAGTTTGTTAGTTTGCAGAACGCAACGCGCGGAGGCCGAGCAGGCCGAGCAGGCCAGGGAGGGTGCCTTCCTGGAACAATTACCGGCCGCACAGTGGATTTGCCAGAAGACCGGTGGAGGCGGCCAAAACTCTAGACGCGTTTTGAGCTCCAGAGTCGCTGCATGGGTCTCGGACCGAACGTGTGACTCCACCAATGGATTGCTCTCCGAACGAGGAATCCATTGGTGGGGTCACACGTCTAGAGTTTTGGCCGCCTCCACCTGTCCTCTGGCCCACTGAGCGACGTCTCAGACGAAGAGTCAGGTTGGGTTAGGTTAGGTTATGTTCTGTTAGGTTAGGTTTGGTCAGGTTATGTAAGGCCACAACGATCACTGTCCCTGTGTTTACTGCGACGGGTTCGCCGCGCCAAAAAGACGAAGTCGGGTGCAGGGTTCGGCAGTCCGGCCGCCACAGCGGCTGGGTTATAAATAATGACAAAATTGGCCTCGCTCGATAAAGCACCAACGAGCCCTCCGACAAAGAAAAGCATGACCCGATTTGTTGAGTGACAGCGAGTCGGGTTTAAATGCCCTCGCCCGATAGCACGGCGGCCCCCGGCACGGAACCAGCTGATTATCAGCGAGTGCGTGTGGGTGTGACTGTGTGTGTGTGTGCATGTGTATGTGTGTTTTTCTGTGTGCGCGCGCCAGCAGCGCCAGCCTATAGGGCACTGCTGCCAACCTGCTGAAGCAAACGATTTGACGGTTGGCAACCGAACTCTGTGGCCAGCGGACCTCAGCAGTTAATAACGTATGACTTAGCAGTGTGGCGTTACGGTTATCGATGAAGACAGTAATACTTGTTGCCCTTTGCAGTTTCGTGCGAGAAAAGAGAGGACGATTTTTTTTTCGATGTTAAAATGATTGCAGTCACCAGGCCGCGTCAAGAAAAAACTCCACTTCTTTTAAATCTTTTTTATTTTAGGGTGAAAGCTGGGCATGGTGCGGCCTGCAGTTTGTGGTGCACGGTGGCGGCCCGTGCGTTTTATCACCGATCGGCCGCGCGTGCGACAGAGACAGACAGTGTCTCTCAAGCGGGCGCGACAGAGACGGCAGGCACTTTTCAATTCCCATTCGATATCTCTTTTCAATTCGCACTCGGCATTTCGCAAACGTCCCCCAAAATGATCGTTCCCGGGAAGTTTACAACACTGGCGCTCGGTGCTCGGCGCTCCGCCGCAGCGACTTTCTAAATGAATGGTCAAGCGCTGAGAGGCTGAGAGAGACCTCCACACGCCACACGCACTTACACACGTTAACACACTTCTTGGGGGCCGGCGGGGCCGCGACTGCCGACCAGCCGACCTCCGGGCGCCTCGGTGGGGACTCGGTGCCGAGAGGGCGAGGTTCACACTCCAGACTCCAGACTCCAGCGGGCACCCCGACCCGGTCATGCGGCCTGCCGTCGTCGTCTGGAGGCCTGCAACTGATTCCGAGAGTCGCTCTGTCTCTCTCGCACCTATACAGGACGCCCCATCAGTGCGAGAGAGACGGAGAGACTCTCGGAATCAGTCTGCTGGAGGCCACACCTGTCGCTTATCGCTGCCAGCTCTTTTTCAGTCTCTCGCCCAAATGGACGCCCGTCGCGCCGACGGCCGCGGCGAACGACCAACACCGCCACAAAAATATTTTGCAAAGCCAACGACCCACACGGACGTCTGCGAATCGAGTTTTGGTCTGCATTTAGGCGGGCAATCTGCGGTAGGCAATCGTGCTCCCCCAGTCCAGCCTGTCGGTGGTCTCTGGCAAACGCACAGTGGGCCAGATGACCGGTGGAGGCGGTCAAAACTCGAGACGCGTTTTGAGCTCCAGAGCCGCTAAATGGAACTCGAAACGAGCGTGTGACCCCACCAATGGATTCCTCGTTCGAAGAGCAATCCATTGGTGGAGTCACACGTTCGGTTCAAATCCCATTTAGCGTTCGGAATTTCGACCGCCTCCACCGCTCCTCTGGCCCACTGTGCGACTGTGAGCGGCCACTGCTCCCAATCTAGGGCTGCTAGTCGTGCTGCCCAGTGTGCTGCCCAGCGTGCTGGTGTGCGTGTCGTCCTCCTCCTCCGTGACGTCACGCGTCCGTCATGGAAGGCCGTCGTGAGTCACAGGGCTCGTCACTGGGCGAGTCACAGGGTGTGGCGCGAAGCACTCTGACTCAACCTGTGTGCTGGAAGGCAACCCCCATCCAGTCAAGGGTAGGTAACGGGGTGACTGATTCGGGCACGCAGGGAAGGGGTAAGTGCGGGCGGGGCGGGGTGGGGCGGGGTAACTCGGGGCGGGGCTCTGCAATTGTGACGTAATGGCTGAGAGGCAAATTGCCGCTGGTAATAACGCCATGTATACGGCACGGCTACACTGCCAAAAAACAACAACAACTCCGCGTGGATTTGCAAGGCAGAGTTGCATGTGTGTTTGCGTGCGGTAGGAACGAAACGCTGGAGCACTGGAAGAAATGCCATCGACCTACTTTCTGGCGCTTTGTTTGGGCAGTATCTCTATCTGGCGGGCCGGGCGGGCCGAACCACCACACTGCCAGACATCGAGGCACCTTCCGAAGATACTCCGCCGCGCCGCAACTACTGCGAGATAAGCGGGACACGCTGCACACGTCCGCGACACGTTCATGACACGTTCATGACACGTTCATGACACGTCACTGGGCAAGTCGCTAAATGGGACTCGAACCGCACGTGTGACCCCACCAATAGATTGCTCTCCGAACAAGGAATCCATTGGTGGGGTCACACGTTTGGTTCGAGTCCCATTTATCGACTCTGGAGCTCAAAACGCGTCCGGGATTTCGGCCGCCTCCACCGGTCTTCTGGCCCACTTCTGGCCCAACGTGGATCAACTTCAATTAGCTCGATAAGAGAGTTGTGTCGCTTTGCTGTCGTCTTTGGCGCAAGATCCCGAGCGACCACGGATGTGGCAGTGCAGGCTGTGTCTTCGAGTGTAGACTGTGCCATGACGTCAACGTGCTCCCTCTCTCTCTCTCTCTCTCTCTCTCTCTCTCTCTCTCTCTCTCTCTCTCTCTCTCTCTCTCTCTCTCTCTCTCTCAAAATTGTAAACTGTCTCGGTCTGTGCGCCCGTCGCTCCGACTTTGAAGCTATTCGGGAAGACCGACTCGAGAGGGACCTCAAGAATGCAGAGCTCTGTTGGCAAGTGAGGTGCTTCTCGGAGTAATGGTGCACAAGACCGCACAGTGTCACACGACAATTGGAAAGCGCTCTTTCTCTCTCTCGCACACATACACACGAGCGCGCACGCGAGCTTACTTAAACACACCTATGCACACACACACAGCAACAAAACTAACCTCACCAGCGAGAACCAGTTGAACAACAGCTGGGGCTCGGCTTGCCATATTTACAGACACGGAGAACTGACAACACCGAAGGGCTGGCTTGTTGTGTTTGTGTGTGTGCAGCCGTTGGGGTGATAGTAGCATTGGTATGGCACCACGCCGGTGCGTCCTTCACTTACATTTCCACTCGGCCCGCCCGGCCCGCCCCCTTCGCTGGCCCGGGGCAGGCAGCCAAGCCAACCCCCCAGCCATGGCGGTGCATTATCATCGAAACGGACACGCCGATTGGGCACCACTCGCACGTAAAATCCCGAAGCCAGCCCCGCCCCGCCCCGCCCCGCCCTGTCCCGCCCCGTCTCGCATTTCGCACCGAACTGGGCCAGGCGGGCGATCCCGGGGCTGGAGGACCAGGAGGACACCGGGACGCCCCTCGACGGCGAGGGCCTTGGCGAGGTCCTCCACGTGCAGACACTCGGTGCGGATGCGCTGCCCCCCCCCCCCTTCCCTCTCGCTCTGCAGTGAATGCCTTTAACGCTCGATAGCAAGGGCAGTTCTCTCCACGTGTCGCGGCTGCGACCCCCCTCCCCCTGACCCTCGCCACCCTCGCCACGTGGCTGGCCTGGCTGGCCCGGCTGGCCCAAAGCCCTGCAGAGAGGCAGCTGCAGGCGCCCCGCCCCCCGCCGCCCCCCTGTGACCTCATCGTAGTGTTTCTCCCCCTCCCCCGCGTCTCCACGGCCCTGACCTAGTTCCGCCAACCCTTCGTCCTTCGTCCTTCGCGGCTCCCGATTCGCGCCCTACTTTCCGGCCAGGCAGCCCTTCCAGCAGCCCTGCCCGGAAGTGGTCGTGCAGTGTCGTACAGCCGCTCCGGTGCATTCCCTTCATGTCATCCTTCGGCTTTTCCAGGCCCGCCCTGCGTTTTCTCCCTCTGTTCTTCCCAGCGGCTCCGCCTCGCGCGACCTCGTCGCGGACGCAGGATTTCTTTGTGAGGCGGAGAGCGAGCCGTCCACTCCACTGCAGATTGGACGGCGGCACGTGCCCGACCTGCGCGGCCGAGGCGGCGCTACCCCGCGCCCGTGGGGAGTAGCGCGGTCCGCGGCGATACCCCGCGCCAGCCAGCTGCGGCCATGGCCATGGCCAGCTGCCGTCCCCCCAACAGGTGTGCCGTGTAGCAGTCCGACGAAAGTAAAACACCGCCTTCCTCGCGTCATGTTTATTCCCTCGGAATCTTCACGGTCCTGGAAGAAGGACTACAGGCTCTTGGCGCGCACGCCGAACACCTTGAGGCCCTCGAAGGTCTGCGTGACCGAGTCCCAGATCTGGGAGGCGGGCAGGTCGAAGCCGTTGCGGCCGCCGCCGTGCAGCTCGATGGTGTAGGACTTGGCGATACCCCCGACGCCCTTGGCCCAGTCGTCGCTACCCCCCGCTGCAGGGTCTGTCGACAGAACGCGGTATCCGTGAGGGAAAACTACTACCAGGAAAAACTTGTTATTTTCTCAGCTACTCACAAAGTTCGGCGCTGTTCTCGACGGTGAAGGGGACGGAACCGGCGGCGACCATGGCCGCGTTCGCTTCCTCGGCGATGGATTTCTGCGGCAGAGGGCCAATCAAATCAATAATCATCGATAATGAGAGATGGGCCGCGGCTCAGCACAGCAAGAGTGTCTTTCAGCTGACCAGTTCCTGGGTGTCAGGCGCGGGCGTCACCCTGTAGTCGTATCCGTACGGGTACAGGATCATCTGGAACAGGCAGGGCAGGGAAGGACCAGTCGTCAGTACTCCTCGCTCGAGAAAAGTGTCGCGGAGTATCGCCGCGCGGACTCACGGGGCCGTAGCTGTGCAGCGTGAGGTACATCTTGAAGCGGCCGTCGGCGTTCTGCGCCAGCACGAAGTCGCGGAGGTTCTGGGACTCGACCTCCGAGAAGGCCTTGGAGCCCGCGAAGGTCTCGGCGCAGGGGTAGGTGCTGGCACCGGCCTCTGAAAGCCATCAGTCCATTCAACGCCACTGCTAAAATCGAAACTAGACACGATTCGCGGAGTACTCACCCATCCAGTGGAAGCCGAAGTTGCGGTTCACGTCGGCGCCGCGTTCGCAGAGCATGTTCCAGAACCAGGCCAGCCAGGAGTCGCGCGGCGCGCCGCGGTTCTTGCGCCAGAATCGGTCCTGCGACAAAAAACACTACTATTCAAAAAACAAAAACAACTAAATGGACTGCGTTGTGCTTTGGATGCGCCGCTCGCCTTGGTCTGCGAGTACTCGTAGCCGTCGGGGTTGACGAGGGGCAGGATGTACCAGTCCATGCCGTCCAGCAGGTTGCGGTGCGCGGCGGTGTGCTCCACGAGCTGGTTGATGAGGTACACGGCGGTGGCGGGTGCGATCCACTCCCGCGCGTGGATGCCGGCGTCCACCAGGACAGCCCTGCCAGGCAAACCAAAATGTTAAAAATGTTTTGTTTCGTTGCAGTATGGAGCTAGTGTTTGGCCATCCTTGCCTCGGCGACTGGCCGCCGTTCAGGGAGACCCGGATGACGGTCATGTCGCGGCCCTCGTAGCTCTTGCCGATGCTCTGCAGCTGCACCAGGTTCGGGTAGTCCGCCTCCAGCTGCTTCAGGTAGGCCTGGATCTGCGCGTCAGGACCAGGGTTCAAACACGCCGTCCTATTTTATTTTGTTTGTTGTTGTTGTTATGATAATTTCCCTTGCCAGGCCACTTGCTTACCTCATCGTAACGCATGTACGTGTCGAAGGTGGCGTTGGACTGCAGGGACTTGGTGGACATGAGCCGCGCTCGGGCCTGCACCTGCTCCTGGGCCTCCTTGTCCACCAAGCTGAGCGTGGGAAGAAGCGACAACAGTCACAATAAATCGATTAACGTGCCAAAAGTTAGCACAGTGGGCCCAGAAGACCGGTAGAGGCGGCCTAAACTCCAGACGCGTTTTGAGCTCCATAGTCGCGAAATGGGACTCGAACCGAACGTGTGACCCGACCAATGGATTGCTCTCCGAACGAGGAATCCATTGGTGGGGTCACACGCTCGGTTCGAGTCCTGTTTAGCGACTCTGGAGCTCAAAACGCGTCTAGAGTTTCGGCCGCCTCCACCGGTCTTCTGGCCCACCGTGCAGTGACTTGACACTGACCTCTGCACGTCGTGCTCCCCGACGGCATGCGGCACGAGGTGCGCCTCCAGGTGGTGCTGCACGCGGCGCAGCGCTGACGGCGACACCATGAGGGTCGTCTCCCTGCCCAGCACCGCCGCACGGCTCCACATGTCCACGCCGCGCCATGCCGAGAGCTCCTGGACGGCCGCGGTCTGAGCGGCGTCGCGCGGCGTCGCGTGGATCAGTCGGTACCTGCGCAGCCGAGGTTGTTAAAGCACCGCCTTTCGAACTCGTAAACCCCCTGTTCAAAACACGCCAAATCTCACCATTAATTATTTTTTTGGACTTTGTAGATTAAACGTTTGGCGAACCTAATTGAATATGAACTTCGCAACCATCAACACAATCACAAGGTCGGCAATTTAAAAGACGAGCCAGGTGTATCTTAAGTTCGAAAGCAAATCACTTACGGTACTCAGATAAGCGAGACAAATCAATGCTTGCGTGCGTAAGCTGACTCCTTGATGTTGCTCAAGTTCAAGATCAAACTCCAACGCGCATCTCCGGACCAACCGGGTGAGGTAAACGCCAGAAGAATGCACCTTTGGTAACAGAGGCTTCGCTAACGTTGCCCGAGTGAGTCCGAGTCATAGACACGCACAACCGCGTCGGGATTATCCCTCTTCATTGATTTGGTACTGCCACGCGGAACGAATGTGTGAAATTTAACTTTTCACCTTGACGAAAACTGTCGATAAAATTTTGAACGTCCTTGAACCTCGAAAGCGTGGAAGCTCACCCCTGGTACGACGCATCGGCAGCCACGGCCGCAAGAGGGCGCGAGGGCCGCCACTGCCAGCAGCAGCACGGAGGCCTGCAGGTTCCTCATGGCGGAGGCAGTGCTCAGTGCTACAGTGCGGTGCGCGCGCTCCCCGACGACCATTTAAAGCCGCGGCCACGCAGCCCTCGAGTAGTCGATAGCCTCTCCACTCGATAAGGGGGAACGGGACGCCCGGCTAATGACAGTGGAGGTGCACACGAAAGTAAGCCGCCGTATCTCCAAGGGGTGGTTCAGTTCGCGTGGAGCCGAGCGTGGAGCGCCCGGCCAGCCGTGGGTAGGCAGCCCGCTCCATCGGCCTGCCGCCTGGTTGCCTACCCTCCGTTCGGCGGGCGCTTCCAGTGGCCGGGGGCTTGTTGCAGTCGCTTGAGGCTCTTCCCCGCCGGAATAAAGTGTCATCTTAGGAAGGACGGCCATGTCTTGTTTTGCAGTGCAGGCGAGCTAGTGTCAGGCCCGAAATGGCATACGAACAGGTGTGGTCTAGCCCGTAATGGTAATGGTAATGCGGGTAGGCAAGCCGCTCCAGCGCCGTGCCGCCTGGTTGCCTACCCTCCGTTCGGCGGGCGCTTTCAGTGGCCGGCCGTGGGTAGGCAACCCGCTCCACCGCCGAGTCACCTGGTTGCCTATCCTCCGTTCGGCGGGCGCTTGGGCACATCTCGGTTGGGGCAACTAGCCAAAATGACCAGCCATTCCCGGAGTACACTCGGGCTTTCCCTATTCTGCGGCGTGTTTTCAGGTGTGAGGTTTGGATTCAATAAAAAACCAAACACTGTAATGAGTTTAAAAATAATACTTTTCTGTTTATTTGAGCTGAACCGTACCGACATTAGTTGAGCGTAACGTAATCTATGTACAAAAAATATATATTTTCTATAAAATAGAGGTAAAATCTCTCCAGAACATCAATATATCACAATATACACACACTTCTTAAAATAAGATAACAATTTTAAGCTTTTCTACTTAAAATGGACGGAAAGAGAATCACATAGACAGCAACAAAATTGCTGACAATACAGGCACATGATGTAAGATTTTTCATAGAAAAATAGGTCAAAATAAATGTCACAATAAAACCATTAGTATACCATTATCTCTATGGCACAAGAGGAGAGCCAATACTCAAACAAGAGAATTGCATGTCAATAAATATTACAATCAAATAACATCGATTAATACTTTCATTAAATAAGAAGTCCCATACACATAACATTATCAGCAAAGGGAATAATTTTTAGTGACAATAGTTCAAATATAGGGTTACTTGGTGCCTAATAAATAACATAGGTTTTCACACAACACCAAAATGCACAATTTTGATGGAGCCATTGTTTTCTTCTTCTTCAGATAAGTCTGAAAGGAAATAAGAGAAAAAGAATTAGTGATACAAAGTAGTGGCTCGTGAAATTTCTCCCCCTTTCACTTCAGAATCAAGAAGTAGTCCTTACCATGGACAGAATTATTGTAGTTGATAAAGTAGTCATTCTCAACAGAAATACTTTTGTCAGATCCATTGACCAAGGAGGTAGGGTGAAGATTTCTTTCAAAGGCATTCGTGCCAGATGACAGTGGTTTTCTTGACCCAGGCAACAAGGCCGACAGTTCCTCAGTATTTAAAGAATCATTTTGCCCGGTTTCCTTCCTGTGGTTCAAGGTGTATTCAAACTTGCCCAAAACCGCAGGCTTCAAATTAGCTCTACCTTGGGTCAATTCATCAGTCACGATTTTATGGAAAGGCAGCGACGATGGACCAGACCCAATGGAAGTCTTTGATGTGTGAAAGCCTTGAGATGTTGTTACCCTTCCTGGATTAGTTCCTGAAGCCCAGATCATGGCAGAACTGGCCACAGCAGGTTTGAAGTTGGGGGAAGGCCTCTGAAGCGAGTGGCTGGGCAATAGGGAGTCCCTGAGATCAAAATGCCTCCTGTCAGGAAGCCCCAAGCGAGGCTGTGATGGAGGCACAAGGGGAATGCCCACTGAATTAGCAGAGTGAGTAAAACTGAAATGCGGAGGCTGGGGAGTTTCATGCAGTAAAGCACTGTCACTTTTCAACAAGTCAGGTTTAACATTTGGAAATGGAGAAGAAGCATGGGGCTCTTCCTCTTCCTCAGGCAAAGTATGCAGTCGATCCTGTAAGGGAAAAACAATGAAGCAATGAGCGCAAAATTTTAGAAACAGTTAAAATTTAAAGTACACTGCACACATTTCTAATACTAACTGGAAGCATTATCTGTGTAACTGTATCACAGAATTTCACTTTTGGACGTTCGTTTGAAATTCCCACTGAACGAAGCGGAAGAGAAGATGTCAAAACTTTTTCATTGACAGATTTGGGAACGTCTTTAGGACTGTAGTAGAGTGATTCATTTCCGTCAGTCATATTTAAGGGACCAGGAGAATTTCTTTCCCATATTGGAGGGTAAAACAAGAGTTTGCTTCCCACAACAGTGCTGATCTCATATGGAAGGCTGTGGTTTCCAGGAAGAGCTGGCCCAGCACTGGTAAAAAGAAAAGGAAATAAAAGTTACCACATAAAGAAATGAGTGAAGAAGATAGGTAAATAAAATGCTACTTACACATTTGGCACTGCAGGTACTACAGGTAAAGGAGGATGAGGACGTTGTACTTTAGATTTATTTTCAAATGATTTAACATCAGTTGTCAAGAAAGGCCGTTGTTTCTCAGTTCCAACTTTTCCTAAAACTCCTTCTGCCTGAGTCTGGTATTTACTTGAGCCATCTACAAGCTCATGATCTTCAGAATCCGATACTACACTGGGTGAGTCTGAACACTCGGAACAAGAAGAACGAGAACACTCTGAAAGAAAGAAGGACAATATATTTTTATAGAAGGGGAGAGTTGATACTTAAAATAAAGGTCCAAAGGCAACTCACCAGAGTGTGATGACCCTGATGTGCTGCTGGTATAAGAACTTGTATCGAGCTGCTCAGCCTTTTTGAAAGCTGCTTCAGAAATTTCTGTTTGCCCAGTGCGTTTGGCACTGTAGTGAATGTCCATAAAAAGGTCACGGTCCATAAGATCTATTGCTAATCTAAAAGCTTTCTCAAATAATTTGTACCTGTAACACAACAAGAAACAAAATTATCCAATGCTGGATGATTTTTAAGTCCACATAAAAAATAAATTACACTTAAGTACCTCAGTAAGAGATGAAAAAATCGTCTTGTCAGATCACGGACTGGTGCTTTGAATTCATCAATTGTGGCTGGACACATTGGTCTAATGGGCATGTGGAAACAACCCAGTGCAGTTTGAATTTGAACTGTGTAAAAGAAATGTGAGAGAAATCACGAGTTGGTACAAGGGACACTCCTGCACCTAAAGAATATACAGCAATCAAAACAAACCTTCATGATCAGGGTTCAATGGCAACTTGAAGAGATGATTCACTATGCGTTGTAAGCAGGACAAGCAAGTGCTGCCAGCAATATCCCAGTTCAGAGTCGAGAGCAAATTTATTGCTTTATCTACATTATTTGACCACAAGTACTGCACTACTAACGAATCAAAAGTAAATCCACCAGTACTGTGAATGTCTCCAGATAAGCCACCACCACCCACATAGCGTAATGATGCAATTGGTCCTCTGAGAATAAAAAATGAACAAAATTATCATTCCTGAAAATCTAGGGTTTGATACCAATCATGCAGCTTTCAATGGCTTTCACCTTTCAAATAACAGGAGTAGTAAACAATCTGAAACTGCAAACTTTTCACCATAATAATTTGTTTCCGCTTTCTTATTCCATTTCATTGTTCTGAGAGTTGGCTGAAGTCTGAAAAAATACCAATTTATGAGAACTCTTTGCAAATTATTTGAAAAAGGAACATGATTATGTTACACTTACCGAAAATAAGATGTGATATCCAAAAGATTGCTTTGGGTGACATCTTCACTCAGAAGTTGTTGCTTTAAAGTAGCCAGAGCAGCATCAAGGATTTGAAACTGACAGCGTTCATTTGCTATGACAAATATTCCACCATCCGGGTGCCATGATATTGTGGAAGGAATCTGATTAAGGGAGAAAATAGGAGTAGAATTCAAGTAACTTTTTTTTTTATGAAATTTGCTATTGAAGAACCCAACTTACAAAAGCAGCTTTTACAATGTGCGTTACACCCAAGGCCTCATCATACAGCACAAGTGAACCATCTATGCAACCCAGCAAGAGTTTATCTTGCAGAGGGCTAAAGCTGTGGCAGCACACGTGAGTAGGGAGAGATATTGATGCAGCAGATGTTCTTTGCATGCTGCCACGTGAAACTTGATACGAGCTACTCTCGACAGTCACATCACCCTGAAAGAGACATTAAATTTAAGTTGTAAAATACTTCCTAGGAAAAATAATTTACAAAGTAAGCCACTCACATTTCTTGATACTTTCTGCTCCACAGATCGAACAACATTTGAGTGAATTTGGCTGAATGATACAGAAAGTAAATCAAACTCTGAACGATGGTGGCATAAAAGGTCTGCCTTTAGTCTGTGCAATGATTAACAGAGGAAGCATGATTAGAAAAATGTTTAAGACAGCAACATTCAGACTCAAATTTTAACAGAAAGAGTGTATCGTACCCACTGACACCATACACAAGCACATTAGCTCTATCTTGGTCTTTGACAACAGGACTCCATGGGTATACCTCGTCATGAGAACTATACCACCATACAACCACCTAAACAAAAAAAAGGTCATGTTCTTCATGAACTTTAATTCATAATCTAAGGTTGGTTGTAAAACAATGACTGACCATATCTCCGCTGACATTGCAAGCAAGTTTCCTCTCCAGCCTGCGGCCGGTGGGACCAGCCAGATCAACAGAGTGTATTCGTGGATCCAGACGACTAAATGACTTTGGAGAGCTGCGTTTTAGTGTAGGTTTCGAAAAATAAACCACAGTCAGTTGACTATCATTGTATGAACAAATTAAGTGTGATTTTGTCAAAACAACTGCAAGAAGAGAAAGTGAGACTCATTATTAACATTCCCAGTTGCAAGCCAAAAAAGAAGTCTTTCTACATACCATCAGCAACATAGTCAGAGAGCAACTTTCCCACAAGAAATTTATCAAATGTTATTGAAATAGGATCACCAGTGAAAATATTCACATTGACATTAACAAACAGGCCTGAACTGAACATTAATTGTAGGAGACTACAATCACGCCACTGACACAGAACGATTCGTTGTTGAGACATATGCTCCTGTTGACAATAAAATGCATTAAAAACGCTAAAAGTTACTTGGAAAATTCAACAGAAAGTACAGACCTAATTAATTACCTCAAGTTCCTTGAGATTTTCTTTGAGCCGAACCGGTCTTTTATTTTGAGGAGCCCAAACATGTCCTCTCTTCTCAGCATATGACTTCTTGCCCTCAAATGGTACGGAGTCATCATTACTCTTTTTGTCATAGTACCTGGAAAAATAACTTTAAGTTAGAGGAACGAAGCAAATTGAAACAAAATAGCAGATGGAACACTATAGTACCTAAAAGCACCAAAATTTGAATTAGATATGGTAATGTCTTCACGGAGAGTCCAAAAGTGGACTTCAGTAGGCAAGGATAACATTATTTCACCAAGAGTTGTGGTTTGAATGGTTCATTTTGACGGCTCCTGTCACTTTCCATAGGTTATGTAGAACAATAACAAATATTATACAAGCAAGTTGGATTGAATTGTTAAATTAAGGTACATTTAAAGACAGTTTCAGCTTCTTGAACAGGCGAAACCTGTGCTATGTCCAGCTTAATTTCACATTTGTGACATTCCCTGGTGTTCTTTTTTAAAACAAAAGTGTGTTGACATTTTGTCTGAAACTTGTTGCCCCGTGGAGAGAGAGGTAACCTAGGTTGGCTACACTGTGTGCTGGCATATATGTGCGGAAAGAAAGAGAAATTCCCGCATGTTGCAAGTATGATATACTGTTCATCTACGTTCTGTTGGAGTAACTCTTAGATCGCGAGTACACTACCTCGGCCACTCATGGATGACCTGTCAACACCTTTGATTTCCCATTCCTACACATGGCGTTTTGCAGCTGGGTCACCTTGAAAGAACTTTGATTCCGCAGGCGTGGTGGCCCTGAAGGGTGTCGTGTTGTGTTCGGAGCGGCTGTTCTGCTCCTGCTCCGTGTTTCGTGTCAGAGAAAAGGTTGTACGTGTTCTTTTGAGCGATTTTCGTCACTCCACTGCGATCATCACCCACTTTCTCGTTCCGAAACTGTGCACTGTCTTAAAGGTAATTTCTGTTGTACGCTGTTTTCTTAGATCCTTCTTTGTATTTTGATATTTTTGAGGTTATCAATTGATTGAGATGGAATGATGACTCTTCATCATTTTTGCAAGCTCCTATTACTTATTCGATCTACTGTTTCGTACCCTTTGTAATCTTGTGAGCTTGGAAATTTTTTATTTCCGTCATATTTTTTCAACCCAGATAATTTTCTTCGATGTAGCAACTCTAAATTTATTCTTTTTGAATATGTTATGTTTGTTCTCAGTTAATTTTTCTGCATTGTTTTATCTTACTGACTCTATTTTTTTTATTACAGATTCACAATGAGTGACATTGCTCAATGGTTTAAAGGGCTACCCACCTTCACGAGGTACTGGTTGGGGCTGACTCTTGGCTTTTCCATTCTTGGACGATTTGGCCTACTGAAAGCACACCAGCTTATTCTCCTTTATGAACCCTTCATTAAATATTTCCAGGTAGTTTATTACATCTATGCATTATATGATGAATATCCAATCGTCATGCATTGTAGTTTTGGATATGTTTGGATTTGGTCTTTCATTCACTATTCTACTTCTTTCTTTGCAGATCTGGAGGGCTGGCACAGCATTGTTTTATTATCCTTTGTCTCCAGCAACAGGATTTCACTTCATGATAAATTGTTATTTTCTTTATAATTATTCATTAAAACTAGAAACAGGTAGGAAATGAGATAATTGAATGAATAGACTTTGGTTACAGGTTACATACATTGGTAATTTATCTATCTGTTGCAGGAGTTTTCGATGGCCGTCCTGCTGATTATTGCTTCATGCTCCTCTACAATTGGATATGTTGTGTGATTGTTGGCCTGATTGTGGAGATACCAGTAAGAACACCTTTTCCTTTGTGCGCTCATTTGTTTTTTCTTGTATTGATTAAAACTTCATTTCCAGTTTTTGATGGATCCCATGGTGCTGAGTGTGCTGTACGTATGGTGCCAACTCAACAGGAATGTCATTGTAAACTTCTGGTTTGGTACCCAGTTTAAAGCCATGTACCTTCCCTGGGTTCTTTTTGCCTTCAACCTCATTATTTCTGGCGGGTGTGTACTTCAAACTTTGGTACATTAAAACGCTACCCCTAATGCACTTTACAGTTGTGTTCAAATCTATCTCTTGCTTGTTGCAGTGGCATCCTGGAGCTTGTGGGAATCCTTATTGGCCACTTGTACTTTTTCCTTACATTCCAACTTCCTCAGGAGATGGGAGGACCAACTTTCTTGTCTACTCCACAGATTTTGTAAGTGTTCCATTTTGATTCATTTCGTTTTTCATTTGACATACAGTCATATTATCAATAAATTTCCATGTTAATTCCTTTGGATTTCTTCCGCACAGGTACAAGTACTTCCCCAATCAACGAAACGCTGTTCATGGATTTGGTGCTCCACCGACAAACCGCAGAGCAGCAGAAGGTGCCCCTGCAGCAGGTGGTAGACATAGTTGGGGCCGAGGACATGTCCTTGGAAATAATTGAAGAACAACAAAATCTTTTCTCTCTTTCTGTCCTGTAGGATATATATACTGTTACCTCCATATCTAATGGTTGTTTCTAAAATATCTGTATTTTACAATGCATAGTATTTGGAAGTTGACAAAGATTCCATTTATTGTTGATGAATTGTAAAATTTGACTTTTGACATTTAATTGTGCTCTCACCAATCTCATGTTGTGAGCTTAGAATTCTGTGTTTTAGAAGTAACAAATCATCTCACTTCTTCCTAATATCTCTTCTTTAAAATGCAGCATTTCGTGTTATGCTGGTTTAGTGTATTTGTGAGTTCAGTTGCATTGCTTTTTCTTCAATAATCATATTTTTCTGAAGATGTACAATTTTTCTATTGTCATTATTTGTTTGTCAATTTTGTTACCATTTTATGTTTATACAAATCTCAATAGCTTAAGCTATTGTGTAACTTAAATCCTAATTCCTATTCGTGCTTCATCCCAAAATGAGTAATTTGTAGCTGTGTGTTTCCATTTTCCATTCAATAGCTGTGAGTTACAGAAGCATAGCTTGATTATCTACATACCAAGGTGAAACTCTTCACTCCTAAAACTGGTGAATTTTATCCTTACTTTCTAATTTGGATACATCAGAGTGAATAGATGTGACTTCCTAATAGGTAAATAACATCATGGGTGTAGGTATGTTAAAAAATGCAATTGGTTGGGGTTTTACCACCCTAAGATAATAACTTCAATTTTGTTGTTTCCTGTTATTTATTGTGAAGTGTACATGATATTTTGACTCCTAAGGGAAAATGAAATGGTGTAATGACTGAAGTGCATGTGTGTATATTTTATGTGTTTAATAAATTCAAGGAAGGTGATCAGAACGCGATGCATTCTTTTGAGTTTTCCCGTTTCGCTAGTCCATTTGACAGACAGAGTATATAGACAAAATCCAAATTGGATGTGCGTTCAAGTGCGTACCTAGCACCTGATCAATACTTCACTTTGACCTCGCGGCCTTGCGGTGAAAGGTCATAAACTTGGAGGCCGGCTTTGCGTTACCAACACCACCGGGAAACATTTCGTACCCGATTCCATTCACTTAAGTTAAGAAATCGGAAAGCAAGTGTGCTTTTGTCATATTATGGATGTATTTCAAGCTGTTTTAATTGTGATGAGCCCACACACACAAGATTTCAAACGCGCTATGTTTTCAGTTTTGTTATTTTGGGTTGGCAGCGAAACCGATACGTTGCGGTAGTCCCTGTCTTCGCGTCCTTCTGCTACTGCTACCCGTTGTTTTGCTCGCTCTATTTTACGGTGTTTACCGTGTTTTCACCGAAGATAAGCGTCAGTTCGTGACAGACACTCCTACGCCGGTCTTGCTATCTGTTTTTTGATCCGAGCGGGAAGGCGTAACACCGCGGCTGGGCGACGGCAGACGTACGATGGTGTATGAGCCTACGCCCGTGCCAATGCCAATGCCCTGTGTGTTTACAAACATGACTTCGATTGCAGTGTTCAGGCAAGTTTAAATGTTAACGCGCAGCTCCTTGTCTGTTTTTACCACTCGTATTCGAATTTTTTCGCCCAGAGTCGCTACTATTGCAACTCTTTGACTCCATCACTTATTGACTGATTTTAGTGTTCACCTGACAGTGCAAAGCATCTTACGATATTGATAATCCTGATTGTATTTGATTTCAGTGAGAGATGGCTTGTATCAAGACCAGCGGCTTGGGCATTTAATATCATACGCATCCCGTTGGAAACATAATTTTTCTATTCTTGCAAGGTATTTTGGCCTATCTTTGTGTTGCCGTTTTATCAGCTTTGCCATTGATACATTGAAATGACTTGCAATTTCAGTTCCACAGGTGCTCACCTGGTGATCAAGAATGTCAGTTCACTTCCTGTTACTGTTCTTGAAATTTTCAACAGTGGTGGCCTTTACTTTGCCGCCCTCTCGTGAAACAATTAGCGACTCATCATTGCGCCCTGAGAATGAAAAATTTGAAAAGACGTGCAGTATGAATGGGGAAAATGATGTGTTGTCCATTCAATCCTGGCAAGGTATTTCACAGCATGCACAAGGATGTTCAGTACCTTATTATGGACCACAGGGGCATGGACAGTACCCTGAAGAGGTATGTCATTTACTAATGGTATGAGTCATTTTGCTTTCTCTAAGACTGAGGAAAAACTTAAATTGTCTTTTGCTTTCCTGCACAGGTCCACATTGTTCACATCATGGATGTTGAAAGGTTGGTTCGATCTCTTTCGAGCCCACCCAATGCCATGGTTTCAGTTACCCTATACCTTGATGGTGCTCTCTGCAAAAATAAGACCACTTTGTCAGAGCAGCAGGACAGGTTTATGAGAAATGGGTCAAAATTTGGTGAAGAGCAAAGTAAAGTGAAGAAAGAGAACATGCCTTCAGCTCTTATCTTGAAAAAGGAACCACCTATTCATTCTCCAGAATTCTTTGCAGCTCTAAGTCAAAGAGGTTCTCCTCAGCCTTCAGGAGGCACGGGCATGAATGAGGCAAGGCGGCCTTTGGTTCTCTTACTAATTTCTGACCAGCCTGTCATTTGGCAAATAAAGCCCGGTACTTGTTGGTCGGAGGCCATGGCAAGCAGCATTCAAGCCATGGTGAGCCTCCCATAGATACGATGATCATAGTCAGATTAGTAAACAAACTACCATCAAAATGAAAATAAATTAACTGCTCTTTGTTTACAGGTTGAAAAAGACTCTCCCGTTCACTCTGATATTTTGGTTGAAGTTGTTCCCAAGACCTGGGTTAAAAAAATTAACAGGAAAAATATTCAGAGATATGCAAGAAGAACTTTCCATGGAATTGCATCATTTACTCAAATCAGAGCTGCAAACTTAGTACGAATTTTAGTAGGTCCAACCGGATCATCAGACGCCGAAAATAGCCGTTTGATATCCTTGCGCAATCGAAACAAGTTGAATTTTTGTGACTTCAGCTCTCATGAAGAGAGCAACTTGGTATCAGCCTCCCTGTTTATGCCACTTTCAGCAAAAAGTTGTGTCCTTGGAGAAATGAATTCCATGTATGTAAATAATCATATCTAGATTTTTGCCTTAGAGTGCCCACTGTTGGAAAAGAAAAAATGATTTCTGTAATATCTGGTTTTTTCTTTTTTCTTAGGAAAGTTTTTATTATGGAAGTTTTGTCCCTTCCTTTAACTGGAGACACAGTGAATGCCAAAACTAAGAATGGGTCCCTTGCTATTTTACCTACAGTCACAGTGCACTTGTCTGAAAACAAAACTATGAGTAGCAGTGACATAACTTCTGCAGAGAGAAATGTAACAGTGATTTTGAAGTCGGAGCAAAATGTCCATTGGGTGGTGTCATCATTGGTTCAACAATATTTCCTAAACCTTGTGGTAAGGCCTAAAATTATTTTTTAGTGTTCATTTATTAAATTGAATGAGTTTGACTTATTATTTTAATGAATTTCTTTTAACAGACAAAAAGCGAAGACACTATTGAATGCATCAACGGTTGTGATGATGTAAAATTATCCTCTCTACCGGAGCCATCATCAAACTCCGATTTCATTGATACTGTTCCAACTCAAAATGGATCTCCACCTCACCAGTTTAATGTCAATGATTCTACAGGATTTACACTAACACTCAAAGATCCAAATCAGCAAAGTGTGTTCTTAGGAGCTACTTGTGTATATTAAAGTTTCTTTGTTTTGTTTGAATTTTAAAATTGGAGTTTGTGTACCTGTTTTGCAGTTCAAGACCATGCCAAGTTTAAGCAGCCATCTCCTGATGTTCCTTTTCCACAACGGCCCATTAGACCAGCATACCACACGCCACCTGATCTCGATGGTAAATCTCACTATAAGAGCTGCATCTCATGCCATAGTTACAGTAGCTTCAGACCATTGAATCAAATGTTCCTCAATTTTTATGTTGTCTCTCACAGATGTGGAAAGGAGGGGAAATATTCAAACCATCCTCGAGTCAGATATGGTTATTACCTGTGGAGAATCTGTCGAAGTTGTGGTCCCAGCTCCAGGTTTGGTGTCTCTAGGTGTCAACACCCTTCATCTGAGAGATCAATCGTGTCGATCACGTCAAAATGGTACTCATTTCATTCTGTCAAGTTCTCTAAAAGGTTGTGGCTCCAATACACACACTGACGGCAGATCATCTGTCATTTCTAATGATGTAGGTTTCACTTAAATCAAATGTATTATTAAACTAAAATTCTCCCTGATGAAAATTTATAAAATTTTGTATGATTCTCTTAATTTTAGGTTTATGCTGACTTCTCATCTTTAAATGGCAATGGAGTGAACTCAAGAATGAATCCATTCCACACTCTTTCAAATTCCAACTCACAAGCAGTAGAAGGAATACCTATAGCATGTGGTGTCAAATCAACACTTGATGAGGATGTTGCCCGGTCCATCTTCAATTCGAGGCATGATGTAGCATCTGAAGAGGATGAAGTACGTCCTTTTATTATTATGAGTCATATTATCAGTTTTTGTAAAAAAAAAAATCTCTGCCTCTATGTCTTTTCTAATTTTTGTTCATTTCAGGATTCAGCTAATTCTGCCCCAAACTCTGGTAGCTCATCACTTTACCAGCTTGAGCTCTATCACCAAGGTGGATTGAGACTTGGCTCCACTCCTTTAAAATATGGAAGTTTGGTTGATCTCAACGATCGCATACTTGTGAAAGCCTGGATGGATGACGGTGATTAATTTGAAAATCAGCTACATGTATGTTCTATTTTCTTTATTTCATTAATCAATTTCCTCTGCTTTATTATTTTAATTATAGCTCCCTCAGCACAAGCAGTGGCAGAAAGTTGTTGGGTCAGTAATCTACAACATTCCCCAATATGGCTACCAAATCAAAAAATTGTTCTTCTGAGTAGCATGTGTCCAGTTGAGAAAAATGTTAAATTGGAACGTCTATCATTACAAACAAAATCATTTTCATTCAGTTTCCTGGTATGTTCTTACAAAAATTAATTGTTTCATTATTTGCTTCACCTTGTATCATAGTAGATATTAACTGAGAATTTTCTCTCTCATTGTAGGTAACTCAAAACATTTTGCGTCTTGGACAACAAGTGTATGTGCACTGCCAAGTAGGCTTGTGCATATCCAGTCTGAAACATTCCAAAGGAAAACCTATTTTGGTATGAAAGCTTGTCTTGACTGATGCATTCTGTACTTCCACAAGACTTTGTGTAATGGTAAAAAATATATTATGTTTTCTTTCAGTGTGTGGACCCACAAGAATTGTGTCATAGCGAGAATCTTCCATCAGTGAAAAAGAACTTATCTACTGCCCATCAGCTTTTGACTCGCGGGCCTCTGAGGCTATCCCAAGGAACTGAAACAAACCATTCATTTACAGCTGGTTGTAAGTTTGCACCGCAGGATTTGGAAAGCTGAAGCTGAGGGTGTCTTCCATTTCTTTAGTTAATGATGTTTTCTTTATTTAACAGTGCCTTTGGAAAAAAAATGTTCAGATATGTCGACTTTCGCGTATGCATCACTTATTAGTATGGACATGACTGTAGCAATTGCAGTTGGCTCGTTTATCATTGGCATTGGCCTTACAGCTACTCTTTGGTTTATACACAACAAAACAGGTGATTTTCCTTATCTGAAGTTGAACATTTCAGACGTAACGAATGTTTTCTTGATTTCTCACTGAGCCTGTTCTCCATGTTTAGAGCCCATGATTCGTCGAGGTTGTCATGTGAGAGAGCACTCCCTTGGATCCCAGACTGCAGTAATGGGCAGCAGCTTGTCGCCACACTCAGCATGCTCCTCAACCAACTCGCAGTCAGCAATTGCATGAAGAGGGGACGTATCTTGCAATCAATGGTCCACTTCAAAGAGTGTTTCACTCATTATTTACAGTTTTGTATATCAAGTATATATTTATTGTAAACCCATGAAGACATTGTGATGGATATATGCTCACACTCTGTCTCTTCTATGCTTCAGTTTTGTAGTCATTTTAAAAGAACTTTTTTAGTAGTCTTCCTGTTTTTGTAATGCATGTGTGGGATTTATTTTTGGGCCCACTTTGATGTTTGTGTGAATCAGTGTTTTGGGTGAGTTTCTGCCATTGCTTCCTTCTCTAGTACAACCACTGCCAATACCTCTTCCCTGTAACTGCATGAGCGTTACTTCCATTCATTAAATGAATTGTAGACTATTGAAACAAGAGAAAAGAAATATATAGTTTATGGGGTGACCTAGTTATTTAGTTTAAAGATGTTTATGATAACTGTTATCTTTATTTATTGATAGAATTTTCAGTCAAACAGAGAATATAATAATAATCCCTTATAAATAATGATGCTGCTCATATTTGTCAGTCTCAGTTCACCTTCAAGTACAAAGATTTCATAAAGGAAAATTATGTACATTTACAACCTGGGCTTCTGGTTCCTTATTGGTTGGGCCATTTGCAAAGCCCAGTATTCCATTGATGCCAGATTTTGTCTGTGTGTGCGTATGTGTGTGTATGTGTTTCAGTCTGTGTCAGGTTTGGCAATAGCTTAGGACTTATTTTTCATATTATTAGTTTGTTGACCTGGTGACCTGCTTTTGTGATAAAATTCATGCAGTAACTTGATACTGTGTTGAGATATTAGTAATTTGCTCTGCATTATAATGAAAACCTGATATCTGCCTTCCGACCCACTAACTCTCATTAGGAAATGTAATCTTTGAGGTGACTCACCCACAATTGTTTTTTGCTGACCTATGTAGGACCTCAGTTTTATATATGTGTTTGAATGTACCCTAGGAATTTTCTGATTTGCTAAATGTCATAGTTGTGTGTTTGTCAATGTTTTTTATGGTCTTCTAAGCAATATAGTGTCCTTGACTAGTGAGTGGCCTTTGAATTCATGTACCTGCTAGATTAAATACTCATGAAACGATTTGATGGACTTTGGAGTTTTGTGGTAAGAAACATTGGACTGGTTGACCTGATATCAATTAGTAGTACTGTTTATACTTGCTATGCTCTCATATGTAGCCAAATTATAAATAAAATCAAAAGACAGCATCAATTTTTATTCATCCCCTCCCCCACAATCAAAATAATGGGGCCGGCGGTCGCCATGGTGACGGGAAACGGGGAACCCGCGAAAAAAATGGGAAAGAAGAAAAAGAAAATAAAAAACGAAAACAAATACAAAAATGTACAAAATTTGAAAGCTTAAGTACATAAGCGAAAACATCTCGGCCAGACCAGAAGGGTGAGTCGGGCAAGGAAACAGAATCACCCTGCTTGTGGCCGGCCGCGCGTCCGTTCGCTAACTTCCAGTGTGTCCACACAGCTGGGCGGGCAGGGGAAGTCCAGGCGGCCCAGGCAGACTCGCGGGTTGCCCCCGAGCCCCGTGGGTGGGGACTCTTCGCGAAAACACGCAACCACTGACTACCCAGTCGAGCCTGCCAACCCAACTCCCTCGCCATGGAAAGTGTTTCCAACACCTGGGCGCAAGCACAGGACTGGGGTGACACCTGCACTGCACTGCGCGGCTCATACAGTGTAATACAGTGTAGTGACGCGTGTCCAGGACCCCGCGGCGGTGTGGGCGGCCAGGCCCAGGGGCAGCGCGGACATGGTGGACAGCGCCTCGCTACTGCAGCGCGGCCGGGCCGGCCGGGCCTGTCCCCACCACGTGCACCCCCACCACCACGCCCCCCGCTGCCCCCGGGCGGGGCGCTGCTGCCACCAGGCGGGCAGGCTCGGCGACGTGGACCTGGAGAGGATGTTCGCATCCGCCCTGACGGGCACGGGCTCCCCGGGTAATCGTCCGTTAGCGCCTGCGAGGCCCAGGGTAGGCAGTCCCGTAACACACGCGCGCTCTGCGGACGGTCTACCCCGGACTTCGCAGGCGGACTGCCCCGTTCCTGTGCAAAGTGGAAACGCCACGAGCGGCGTGGAAACATTGTGCCGGTGGGGTTTGCGTTTCCTGAGTTGGCAAGGTGTTTGGCTGTAACAGGTGGCCGGGTGCGGCGGATGCGCGCGCCGAGAGCCGACAGCTACGAGGTAACGGTCGTCCGTCTCTGTCGCACCCCTGTGGCGTGGTGGAGGGCTGCGAGAGAGACAGAGCGACTGAACGACGACGGTGACCTGCTTGCCCGCAGGACTTCCCCCTGCGGCCGTGGCCCAGCAGGGCGATGGCGGCGCTGGGCCGCGTGATGCGCCTGAGAAACACCTGGCGTCGCGCGGGGGTGCGCTCCAGCCGCTCCTCCCAGGTTCGTGCTGTCCTTGTCCACCTTGCTGCTCCAGTGGCTTTGCCAAAGAGAGATTAGAGAGACACTGTCGCAGACGACGCCCACGCCGACGCGGCCGCACATCGCGGAGGCGGCGTCATCCTCGGGGACGCCCGACCTGGTGTCGGCCGCGGGCTCCAGCCCCACCGTGCAGTCGCCGTCGGCCTCCACCACGGCGTCCGGGAGCTGCTCGTCGCTGTCGGCGCCGGGCGTGGCGCTGGGGCGCGACGCGGCTGCCTCCTACCTCGAGACCCTCGTCAAGTGCACGCCGCTCAACGAGCCCAGCGAGCCCGCCAACGCCATCCCGGACGACCCTGGAGGGACTGTGGCCAACAGCCAAACGTTCGTGCCCTCGTTTCTTCGTATGAGTGCGAGTGCCGCGTGCCGCGCAGACACCTGAAATTAGTGACCGTTCGCAGGGCGAGCGACTGCGAGGACGTGGTGGCCTGCTCGCCGGCACAAAGGGGCCTCGTCCAGTGCCTGGACGCCGTCGTGCTGGCCACCACCACGGCAGCGTGCGCCCAGCAGTCCGTCGGGGAAGCCCCGCCCGACGGCTCTTCGCCAGCCCGTCCACAGGCGCCAACTTGCCCGCCAGAAACTCCCTCCCGCCCCCCAGAGCTTTCAACCTGTCCCCAAGAGCCCCCATCAAGCCCACTAGAACTCCCACCAGGCTCACTGCCAGAACCCCCATCCAGTTCGCCGGACCTGCCGGAAGAACTACCACCCAGCCCTCCAGACCACCCAGCCTGCCTGCCAGAGCCCGCATCCAGCTCTCGAAAAACGCAACCCATCCCTGCAGAGAGTAAATCGAGCCCCCCAGACGCAGCATCCCGCCTCCCGGACCCCCCGGACCCCCCACCCTGCGCACCTGAGGCTGCGCCCAGGCCGGAGGACCCACTGGACCCACCATCGCGCCTGCCCGCGCCCCGCTCCGCCCCTCCGTCGACGTCCTGGTGGCCGTGGCGGTCCACCCCCGCCGCGGACCACGCCAGCTCGCTCGCCGACTCGGTGCGTGGCGTGGCCAACATCCTGAGGGCCTTGGACGCGGTGGGCGAGTCCGTCCCCGGCGCGGAGGCCACGCCAACGCCAGCGCGAGAGCAGACTGCCAGCACGGACCACGCCGACGGCGAGCTTGATGGCGGCCGGAGCACCACACAAGTTGTTGGCGCTGAAGATGATGACGGGGGTCATGTCTGTCCCGAACACGCTGCTGCTGAACACGTCCATCCTGAAGCCATTGTTACCGGACTCGCTGGACCCGGCGAGCCAGCTGCAGCGTCTGCGCAAGGCCTGCAGCCCGCCGCCGCCACCGCCGCGGCCACCGCCAAGGCCACCTCGCTGGTGGACGACAGCAACCTGCTGATGCTGGCCCTCCGCCAGGACGGCGACCACAGCGTGCTGCTGCTCACGCTGCTGGACAAGGTGGCCGCCACGGACGCCAAGTACGACGCGGAGCAGCTGGCCGGCCTGGTGCGCGACTGCAAGAGCAACATGGCGTCGCTAGCCTCGGTGCTGCGCACCAGCAAGACCAACAACAGCGAGCACAGCGACGAGACCGTGGTGGAGGACGCCGGTGAGGTAGCTTCGGACTGCTCGCTCACGAGGGCGGCCACCGTTCTGCCGCCAGCGGGCATCGACACCACGCCCAAGGTAGCCAAGGCGTCCAAGACGGGAGAGCGGCCCTTGGTGGCGGCTAGCGCGCACCGAGACGAGCCTGGCGCAGCCCAAGGTGCTGTCCCGAAGGCCGGGCACTCCTCCACCACCACCCAGCCGGACGCCGCGCCACTCGTGTCGTCCAGGGTGGCCAAGCTCGGCGAGGCGCTCGCCAAGAACCTCGGCGACGTCGTCGGCGACCTCCGCGACCACGGCGAGCCGCGGAACGAGGAAGCAGGAAGCATGCCTGGAGTAGTGGGGGACCTCGGCGACCACCCCGTCAACGACAAGTACAGGTGCGATTCTGCCACTCGCGCAAACCTTTATACCAGTATTATAATATCGTGCGTTGATGTCTGCTGCAGGTCGGTACCGCCCGGACCCGGGCAACGCGGCCCCTTGCTGTCGGGGACGCCTGGCGGTGCGCAGGGCGCGGTCCGGGGCGCGGTCCGAGGCGCGCAGCTGGAGGACGCCAAGCGCCGCGTCATGTTCCAGTCCAGGCCGAGCGAGCTCGCCCGCGTGCCCCGGCTCACCACCAAGGCCCAGGTGTGCTTGAGCTCCTTGAGGTTGTGGTTGAGGCCGCACAGTGGACCAGAAGACCAGTGCAGGCGGCCAAAACTCTAGACGCGTTTTGAGCTCCGGGGTCGCTGAATGGGACTAGAACCGAGCGTGTGACCCCACCAATGGATTCCTCGTTCGTAGAGTAATCCATTGGTGGGATCCAGAATTATGGCTGCCTCCACCGGTCTTCTGGCCCACTGAGCCCCCCCGCCACGCCACCCTGACGAGGACCTGCCCTGCCCGTAGTCGCAGTGTGCGGTGCCCGTGCCCGCAGCACGCCTCCGCATGCCCCGGCCCGCGCCGCTCGACGCGGTCCCCGCCAGAGCGCGCTGCGCTCGCCGGGGGGCGGCGGGGGCGTCGTCGGCGTCCCGAGTCGGCGTCGGCGTCGGGGTGGGCGGCGACCACGCCGAGGAGGTGTCGTCGCGCGTGCGGCCGCGAGGCTGTCGCATGCCCTCCCTGTTGTCCCAGGGCCCCGTCGTGGACGGCGTGGCCCCGCACCGCGCCAACAAGATCGCCTTTCAGGTGGCGCACCACGCCGTGCAGGCCGTCCAGGCCGTGCAGCGCGCGCCCCCCGCCCGCCTCGCCAGCAAGGTGGCCTGTCTGCTAGTGCTGCGTGCCCTCATTCGTCGGTGGTTCGGCTAACTCGGTGTTTTCGGTCCGTCAGCTCGCTCTCCCCGCTCGGACGTCCGTCGCCGTACAGCGCGCCACCCCCGCGCCGCCCCCTGCGCAGCCGCTGCCCCTGGCCGCCCTGGCAGCCTTCCCCGCCGCCACCGCCACGGTGGAGCGGGTGGAACGGGTGGGCAGGCGCTCTGGAAAGGTGCTGTCTGTCTCTTTCAGGGAGCCGCCCCGATAGCTTGTGCCCAAACATTCGGCTTGTCGAAAAAAAAAAAGAAAAAAAAGAATGGAACCCCAATGCAACTCAACTTCTTGTGTTTCCTTTCGCGTTCGTCAGTAATGCCTCGGATTTGTTGAGAAAGAAGCCTACCACCCCAGTAAAGGGACTCTGAAGGTGCAATGCAGTGAGATGATAGGAAGGATGCGTTCATTAAATACAAAGTATACTGCTGATAAATTCTTTTAATAAGATCAACATACTGGAAGAGGACAATAATAAGTATTTACATTAACAGAATAAATATGGCATTCACAAAACAAATTATTTTTTATTTTTCCTTTTTTAAACGAGACATGTTAAGCGTGAAACGCTTTCATCTCTAAATCTTCAATGATAAAAACTCAACTATTCATTCATTCTCTCTAAGTATCTTTTCACAAAATTAAAAATTGGAGATCCACTTGTGCAGGCAGTACAATTTGACCAGGTTGCTACCACTACTATTGGGAATAAAGACTCCTACATTTGTCAGAAAATATTGCTAGAACAATTTTATATCAATTGGTAAGTAAAGAAAACATTCTCCGCACTTATCAACTAGTTTAACCACCAACATCAGTTAATCAAGTGAAGTATCTCAAACAGTTTATGCATTGCTGAAAGTGGAGCAGTAAGATATTAAATGCAAAAGGCAAAGTATGGAAAATATCTATTTGCAGCAGTTTAAGCTTGTGGCAACTCCAGAAAACAAAACAATGAAGATAGACAAATATTTACAAACTAGCATCACTCATTAAAGGAGAGGAGACTAAACAAAATTTAAAAATTATCAGCTTGCAGAAACAATTCCACAGCCATTACAATATTCTCTTTTACAGCAAACCACATTCTCAATTAAACGTTATCCAGTTCAAGTCGACATTTAAAACCATAGAAAGCTTTGAATGATCTGTTTTACTTGTCGACTTGTACTAAACTAAACTAAAACAGAACAGTTAAAACAGAAACATGAACTAAAATTACATCTTTACACAAATTCTAGTCCCATTTTCTAATCAATTTTGACGTCAAAATCAAAGTTAAGATACAAAAGGGTTCAACTCTAGAAATCCATGATACTCCAGCAGTAACAATATTATTAAATAATAATAAAAAAAAGGAAAAGTAATACTGAGGAACCCATCTTAATTAACCTATTTACAATTAACAGCCTCAGTACCATTCACCTGTATGTACAAGACACAGCTTTTGAATCCAGATACTACATTAAAGCCCGGGCAGCGCCCACAAACCTCCGACTGCTCTAAAGCAGAAGAGCAACACATGGGGGAATCAGGCGTGAAGTGTCAGGGGTGCCGCCCAGGCGACGACAGACGAAGTAAATCAATGGCATCGGACGGGGACCGCGACCGCGGTCGGTCCGCTAAAAGAGTTGTACTGGACTCCCTTTGGGTATTTCGACTAGAATCAAGCCTGCACATCTAAGTGTTCCGGGGGAGAACTCTGGCGAACGCAAATTTAGTTTTAATGCTCCGGTCTATAAAGCCCTACCAAACTACAACCAGCAGCAGAGGGGCTTGGCCCATGCTCAGTTCAAAATTAAAAGCGCAGGGCGCGATGGGGATGCAAAACCACAAGAAATAAAAAATATTTAACAATTAGGAATCAGTTAAGACGAATTTTGGCAGGCCTTTTCGCTGGCCGTCGGCGCATTCTCATTCACCACGCTACGCTCCTCAATCGCAATCAGACTTTCGTTTCCCATCCTCGTGCACTTTCAGGTTCACGTTCACTTGGCTCACGCCCACAGCCAGCTAGGTCTCGGACAGCGACACTGGCAGCTCCATGTCCTCCGACCAGCTCGAGTCCATGGGCGTGTTGATGGCGGACTGGCCGCAGCCCGCGGTGGGGGTCATGGGCATGGCCAGCGACAGGCGGGGCAGGCCGGCCAGGGCACGGCGTCCTCGCCCGGCGCTCACGTCGTCCTCGTCCGACGCGCTGCCCTCCTCGGACGACGAGTGGATGCCGTTGGCGGCGTCGTCCATGGCCATCTCCTCGCCGCCGGCGTCCTTGGGCAGGGTGGCCTGCTTGGCGAGCAGCAGGTCGCTGTTGCTGCCGCAGGACGCCGTCATCAGGTCCAGGTCCTGGGGGTGCTGGAACGGCGCCGCGTCGGACTCGTCCTCGGCGACCTCCTCGACGGCCTCCTTGGCCACGCCGAGCTCCGAGCCCTCCGAGCTGCAGCTCATGGACGACGACTTGGACGACGAGAAGTCCTCGATGTCGCTGCAGTCGTACACGGCCGCCACCAGCAGGTGCTCGTCGACCACCACGGCGGGCTCCGCAAGGTCGGGCGTGCGGCGCTGCGGGAGCGACGCGGGCGGGCTCCAGTTGCCGGACGACAGGCACTCCCCCGAGTCCGAGGAGATGGACCGCGAGCGGACGCGCGGCGCCGCCCCGGACGACGCGCGCTGCTTCGGGGTGGGTCGCGGCGGCGTCGGGATGGTGGTCGCGGACGCCGACTGCGACAGCGGGCACAGCGCGCCCTGAGGGGTCCGCCGCGCCGTGGGGGGCGCGCTGCGGGGGTGGGGGGCCTGGTGGTGGGGGTGGTGCGCGGGGGAGGCCACCGGGGTGCTGGCCATGCGGCGGTAGATTCGCGCCACCACGTCGTCCGTCGAGTCGGCCTCCATCTCCAGCATGTACGACACCGACTCGCTCTTCTCCACCACGCCCTTCACCTTGGGCGACTCGGGCGGCGTCGCGCTCTTGTTATTATTGTTGTTGTTGGAGCCCTTCAGCGATCTGAGGACGGGAGACACAAAATTAGTCATACAATTCCCGTTCACAGTGTCAGCGTGTTCTTTCCGGCAAGCACTCACCTCCGGCTCCTGTCGGGGGTCAAACCGTTGGCTAGCGAAGCGTTCAGGATCGCTGCAACAAAACAAAGCGAGTTAGATTCGCGGCTCGCCACTAACCGGAGAGAAAGAGAGACACGGCACGCTGCTCACCCGAAACGTCGTGGAAGTCGCTCATGTTGGCAGCGAGGGCGTTCACCACCTCAGTGTTCTGCTTGAGCTTGAACTGGAGCTGCTCGTTCTGCAGGGACAGCATCTGCTTTTCCTTGGTCTCCTTGCAGAACGACTGCTGCAGCTCGCTGTTCTCCATCTGCAGCTTGCTGCAACACGGCAAACGAGACGCGCTCAGTCACACTCACAGTGAAAAAATTTCAAGCAACATTATAAATTTTTTCAGAAAGTTTTTAAAAAGTTTTTAAAAAAATTAAAAACATAAAACAGAAACAATTCTTGTTTCAAATTTAAATATTTTTTTTTTTAATTGAAAAGACTGGGCGGGGCACTCACCTCTCCAGCTCGCCCTTGCGGTCCAGCTGCACCTGCAGGTCCTCGAGGCGGGCCGTGAGCGTGCCGATGCGCTGCTCGGCCCCGGGGAGCTGGTCGGCGGCGATGCGCAGGGCGTCGTTTTCGCGGCGGGACTTCTGCAGCTCGTCGCAGCGCAGCTCGAGCACGGAGCGCAGCGAGTCCACCTCGTCCTGCAGCTCGCGGCACCGCGCCGCCAGGGCCTGCGTGCGCGCGTCCTTGTCGCTCTTCATGGAGTCCATGACGCGGCGGCTCTGCTCGCGCAGGGCCTCGTGGGCCGCCTCCCGGACGCGCAGCTGGGCCGTCAGCTCGGCCTCGCGCCGCGACGCCTCCTCGCCCAGCCGCGCCGCGTCCCGCTCCGCCTCCAAGCGCGCCGCGCCCAGCGCCGCGCGCAGCGTCTCCTCGTGGCGCCGCGTCACGCGGTCCAGCTCCAGCTCGTACTCCTCGCGCAGCCCGCGCGTCGCCACGGCCACGGCGTCCGCCGCCTCCACGGCGCGGCTGTCCATCTGGCCGCGCAGCGTCGCCAGCTCGCCGGTGTGCCTCGCGGTCACTGCAACAGAAGGCCGCCGTCAACGCTCTGCCGCACCCAGGCCGCCGTCGTCGTCGTCATCGTCGAGGTACTCACGGGTCTGGACCTCCTCGTCGTGCTCCGCCAGCCTCTGCTGCAGGTCCGCCATGGCGCGCTCCCTCGCCTCCTCGCGGGCCTGGGCCTCGGCCTCGGCCGCCACGGCCTTCTGCGCCTGCTGGGCGCGCTCCTCCTCAAGCCGCCGGTACTGCGCTTGCGCCTCCTCTGCAAAAAAACAACAACAACAAATTACGACGACGCCACGCTGCGGGCGGCGAGCGCCTGCGAAGTCCAGGGTAGGCCGGCCCGCCGAGCGGCGGTGTGAAACGGAGCGGCCCGCCTGCAGGCGCTCCAGCCAGCCGACGTCGGCGCGGTGGCTCCACTCACCCAGCTGCAGCACCGTGTTGGCCATATCGGTCTTCATCTTCTCCAGGTCCCTCCGGAGCGCGGGCGCCGCGAAGGCCCCGAGCTGCAACAAGACACGCGCGCCGTCAGCGACACGATCGACGAACAGGCACGCCCGTGTCGCGGTCCAGAGCGTGACCGCGCATGATCGGCCCGAAGTAGGCCGCATCACGCGGACAGGCAGCGCCCTTTGGCGGCAAATTTAAAAAAAAACTACTTTTTGTTTAAACTTTATTGAGTCTTACCTTGGTGGTGGTGTAGTCCAGCAGCACGGCCATGGCCTCGAAGGCGGCCGCGTTGTGCCTCAGGTCGGGCAGCAGCCTGCGCCGCACCTCGGCGGCCACCTCCTGGGGCGAGGGCCCCTGCTGTCCGCCCTGCTGGCCGCCCTGCTGGCCGGGCCGCGTCCCCACCGTCCTGCGCGCCGGCATGGGCACCGCGGCGACGCCGTTCTGCGCCACCTGCTGCTTGGCCACCGGCTCCAGCCGCCCATTGTGATCTGCGGACAGAGCGAGGAACACGTTCACTTTCACGCGCAGAATCCCATCGACCGTCCTCGACGCCATCATCAACGCCGTCATCAACACCACACTCGCCACCAGTGGCCGAGCCAGCCACCCCCAATTAGCGGGCCGGGCGGAGCGGAACCGCGGCACCGCCAGGGCATCGCGCGGGAAAGCCAGCCAGTGTTGCCAACTATGACGCTCGCCCCGCTAGGGTCTCTAGGCCCGCTAGGGTTGCCAACAGTGGCATCTATTTGCATTTGCCATTGGCTATCGGGGAGTCGTTAGTCATGGGCCGGACAGTTCGAGCAAGCCTAAATCAAAGGGCGCGGGGCGGGAAGGAGGGGCGAAGAATTTGGATTCGGAAGTCAACAACGGTACCAAGACGTACATTAATGTCAAAAAAAGTCTTTTCTATTGTTAGTTTGAATTAAGCGCATGTACAGTTTGAAATTTTGGAATTTCTCATAATCATTCAACAGTTGGCGTTGGCACAGTCCAATACATGGCTATTAGAATTCTAATGATTAAAACCCTATGGGAACACCGTGCAATGCGATTAGCATTTTAACTTTTTTTAACTTCCGAGGGTAAAATTCATTCTGCAGTAGATTCCCTCTCGGTCCAAAGAAAGAGGACGCTACAACCGCAGCACGCTCCCTAGCGGGGGGAACTGCGGGGCTGCGGGCTAGACGGGCCAGGCGGTGCCAAGAGTGCATCGCGTACAATGCAGGCCGCTGGGCCGCGGCTCGTACGTCAGCCGGGAATGCACGCGCGCGCGCACACACACACACACAGTGGCGGCGCGCTTCCAAACGGAAGGTAAATGGTAGCGAAGAGACGCGAAGAGCGAATTGCAAGCAGGCAGCGCGTGGGCGAAGCGCGGCTCGTTTGAAACAGGAAAAAAGGGGAGACACACGAACGGCGGCGAAACAAGACACAGGCCGACCGGCAGGAACAATGCCTGCAGTGCCCCGGCAGTGCCACCACACTGCGGGTTCAGGTGCACGCCGCCAGGCCGCCTCCAATTCCACTGCAGACAGTTGCATGGAGAAAGTGCAACACTGCCTGCAACTTTAGAGGGCGCAAGTGCATTTTTTTCCCTGCCCGCGCGGCACCGCCCCCGCCCATCGTGTTTCCTGCCTGTCCGACGGACGGCCTATCATTTCCACTGCAAAATCGGACACCGCGCCAAAATTTCACCGCCGCCGCCGGGCGTTGAACCACCGACCGCCGCTATTAGCGTGTGTGCCCCTCCCTCTCTCCCCTCGCGTGCGCCGTTGTTACCGCACCCGCGAAAAAAATAATCCCAGAGCCGCCGACCGAAAATCAGTTTTGTCTCGCTTTCTCTCGCGATGGCCAACGAGTGTGTGGAAACAGCCTGCGCGGTGTATGGCTTAAGTCCGTCTAATTGAAAGCCCAATTTCACTTTTTTAATTGTTGTTTCAAGTTGTTACGGCTTGTTTTGAGATTTCAGACAGGCGCGGCGGCGCCGAACCGAACCGCCTCCTCGGCCACAACTACAAGGAAGTCAATTACAAGGAGTCGCGCGCGCAGTGTGCGCAGAGTCGCGGGCAGGCCACTGGGGCATAGCGCCGCGATCTTCGGGCGCGCACATGTTGGCAGCACCAGCCGCTGTTTATTTCGGGGCAAGACAAGACCTTGGCTTATGACACGCCGGGCGTAGTGGCCGGCCGTAGTGGGAGGGCGGTATACTAAACACAGAGCCCAGCCCCGCCCCGCCCAGCCGGCCGACAGAGAGACACCTCGCCGAACGGAGCGCGGCCGAGTCGGCATGGAGCGGGCTGCCTTCTAGGGACCCGTCCGCACCCGTCTGTCGGCAACACCGGGCAAAGCCACAGGGCGAGCCACAGGGCCGGCCAAGGCGCAAGCACGACGGGCATCCCGCTATTCCAAGGACCGCCATTCCAGCTTTCCAAAACGCACATTCGCCATTTTCCTCCCCGCCACAAGATTTCCACATTTCCCACAAGTCGCCACGATTGGTCGGGCGTCCTTGGCATGTTCCACACACCCACCGTCCCTTCCACGGCCCGTCCGCACGGACCGCACCCACGCCGTCCCTCCTCGACTCCCTCAAACGCCAAGCATCTCGCGGAGGATCGACTGTTGAGCGCGTCGCTACCCCGCGCCGCTCCAGCACTCACAGTCGGACACACGCCGCGCCGGCAGGTACTCTGCACTCATAGCCCTCGGCCCGCCTCGGCCTGCCGCGGCCTCGGTGGAGCTCGGTGGCGCTCGGCCCGGGCCCCGACGAGCACTGGGCAGTGGCCGGCAGCGGCCGCGGGCAGCACCGCGTCGACCGCGTCGCAGTAGCCCGGCGGCCCCAACGCAGGCCAGCCGCCAAGTGCATAAAGCACACTGTCCCCACGCGCACCAACGTGCTCTTAGTATAGATTATTAAAAAATTTAAAATTTCTTTCAGTTTTTATGAAAAATATTTTTAGCCTTTTTTATTTTAGGCGCTGTGGTAGACGAGCCGGCGGTGCTTTCCAGGTCCGACTCGGGCGTGCTAAAGGCAGTCATCGGTGGCGCGCATCCTTCCTCGGGGTCTTCCAGGGTGTTCCTCGGGTGTTCCGTGAGGCACGCTTAATGGACACTCTCATCAGGAGCATTAGCCAGCCAGCGCGGCAGCGCGGCTCCCGGTTGCCAGGCTCCCATTGGCTGCGGGGAAAGGAATGCCACACCAATAAGACGGGAGCCGCACCACGTAATTGTGCATCAGGCCGGAATGGATGCCATGGATCCATAAAGTCGGTGCCGACAAGGAAAAGGGGGAGGGGGACTCAAAATCCGCAACGCCGCGGAACTCGCCTAGGCGAATGGAGTCGACCCGTTTTGTTTTATAGTGCACTCGGATGAAGCAGGCCTCATGTGTTGACTGCGTCGTTGGAGTCGTCTAGTTTGATTGGCGGGGCACCTTTTTCAGCGAGGGTACACACACTGTCTGTATGCAGCGCAAACCTTAAAGGTCGTCGACGTGACACAGGTGGCCGTTCGCCATCATACTGTAGCGAGCAAGAAATGTTGTCTCTGCCTGTCTCTCTCTCTCTCTCTCTGCTGTGACATGGCGCTGGCCAATTCTCCATTTTGACGCCACCAACAGTGTAAACAAACACAGCCAACGACCGGTCAAGTCGCGCAGTCTGCTAGGGCAGCGACACAGCCAGCCCGCTGGGACAGACAGACAGATAGACGTACACGAGGACGCGCGCGAGCCAGGTTCGCCAACATTCACGTCTCGTGGCGAACGGGGCCGCGCCGCAGGACAGCCAACAACAACAAAAACAGCCACACGTCCACGACGCCGGCGATCAACCGTGAGAAAACAACAAAAACATTGCCCGTCACTCGGGCAAGAAAAAAAACGTTGCCCCTGTGTTTTCATTTCCATTTGACCTGAGAGGATTACTAGCAGTGGCGCGACGGCACGCGAGCGACAAGTCAAACAGTTACAGGCGGCAGATCAGGACTGGTCGCGACACACACACACACACACACACAGTACGGCATGGGCTGTAGTCCGGGCCCCGTCAAGCTAGGGTAAAGGTTCCGTTAAACGACTGGAGTGGAGCAACAGGAAGCACAGCGCGGCAAAGCACTTCCCAAACATTCCCCTTTTAACGTCGTTTCCAAATTAAATAATAAGTTACTCTGTGAGCGGACCCGGGCGGGCTCGAACAATGGTGAGGCTACTTTACATTCGCCAACAAAAGAAGTCATAAAGCCGACAAAACGCCGGTGAAACGGGCCAGAGTTGTTGTCCAGACAGGGTAGCCGTGTCCGCTTACACCGACTTTGCAGTCCTGCAGACCACCTAGGGTCAGCGTGTGGGCGTAATTAAAGCCCGGCAGCGACCTACACGTCAGAGAGAGAAAGCAACAAAGCCACTCAATTCCCTCCAGCAAGTTGCCACTTCGAGCCACCGTGCCCATTCCGGCGTACCGGATATTGTTAGAGTAACAGAAATCAAGCAACCAAACTGCTTCAATTTTAACGAAAGAGCATTTTAACTTCTCTCCATAGCAACAAGCTGTCTTTTCCACTTCGGCCTATTTTTATTTTCTCGTAACCTAACGGCCAGGCTATGACGCGCCAACACATCGTGATCGAGGCGAACGCATTGTCCGCCTGGCCTATTACCCAACGCAGCCCAATCCCAGACCATGACCCAACACCACAAGGAGGGGGCCCTGCTAAGCCCTGCGCGCGGCCGGGTGAGAGGTCACCGAAACCAACCTTTCCCTCTCGCGATACTTGGCCGAGCCAAACGCCTACTTGGTGGCGAAGTCAAGGGTCAAGTTACAATTTTCAACAGATCAACGACCACACACCCGCTCCAAAATTTATATTGAAATCCTTCACACATTTTATGGTTACATTTTCTTGAAACTTGTTTGAATTCCTGGCTAGTTTTTCCTGCGCTGTACTTCATATTGATCACGACACGGATTCAAATGAGCTGCGCCAGTGCACTGGCGTGCCCCATCATTGCCCCATCTGTGTCAACGACATGCAGAGGGAGCTTTTTGCAGTGGACGCCGCGCTCTTTTGATCCGTGAAGCTGACGAGGCGGGGGGCCGGACCATGTGCGCCCATAATAGGGAAGGTCAGACACTGTTTCGACCCGTAATCACATCCAGATTCCGACTGTGTCTGTGAGTGTGCCCCTGTGCCGTGCCCGTCCGCCCAGAAAGGCTCAAACCCGCACCAGAGAGTCTGAGGCAACTGGAAAGCCTTACCTAACGCAGCGGTCGTATCATTGAACCTGTTCCCAAGTGCCCGGGCTGCCTCTGTCTCTGGCTGGGGGACCGGAACGCGATGAAATACAGAGTAATAACAGGCGACGGAACCACAACACGTTGCGCGCAACGCGTTGGCTAGCCCAGCCTGTGGTCAGCCATTTCCGACAACGCAGCCGACACGAAAACGGCATTCAACAGTTTCTCCCCGGTGATGAAAACGCGCAAACTAG